AGATCGCGGGCAATTCCTCGCCCCCCCGAATCCCGAGCTCGGTCTGAGCAGTGAGGGCTGGCCAGAAAACATGGGGGGGCTCGGAGATACAGCCCCAGGGGGGTCTATTCGGACGCACCCGCGTCGAGGGGGGGCGCCGCCCGTCGTGTGTCCCCGAGCTTGGCTTCAACTTTTTTTGGCTCCGTCGAACACCCCGCAGAGTTTGGGATTCGAATGGGCCATGCAGTCAAGAAGCTGGGAGGCGGACCACTTCGGATTCAGGAGTGGCGCTGCTTTCGGGCCGTTCTCGATACCTCGGTGGGGGAACCGTTTCGTGGCCCGGGCTGGCCGTGGCTGAAACATCGCCCCTTCTTCGCTCCTCATTTGTCGTTCCTGCTGGTACCGCGATGGCTGTACCCCCCCTCAGAAGGTGAGGCGTTTTGCCTTCTCCATGGAGGAGGAGGAGGAGGAGGAGGAGGAGGAGGAGGAGGAGGAGGAGGAGGAGGAGGAGACGAGGAGGAGGAGGAGGAGGAGGAGGAGGACAAGGACGAGGAGGAGGAGGAGGAGGAGGAGGAGGAGGAGGAGGAGGAGGAGGAGGACAAGGAGGGGACAAGGAGGAGGAGGAGGAGGAGGAGGAGGAGGAGGAGGAGGAGGAGGAGGAGGGAGGAGGAGGAGGAGGAGGAGGAGGAGGAGGAGGAGGAGGAGGAGGAGGAGGAGGACAAGGAGGAGGAGGAGGAGGAGGAGGAGGAGGAGGACAAGGAGGGGTTCCTCCTGCTCCTGCGTCCACCTGGTCTCGGGCCTCTCCTTGGGAGCCCCAGGCTCGCGGGCGGGCCGGGGCATCCTCCTATGCGCGCGCGGCACGCCCCCCCCCCTCGAGGGGCGCGGATCGCACAGGGCACTCCCTGCCCCCTGGGTGGGCGTCTGCCTCGTCTCCTTCTCCCGTCTGCCTCCTCGTCGCAGGGCGAAAAACCAAAAAAATACGCCAAAACATACTCCCCCAAATGCTCGAAGATGATCAACAAGTGGCCCCCAGACTCTTCTGTTGACCGTGTCTGCATATCCCCCCTGCAGAGGGACGGGCCCGACTGAAAAGGCTGCCCTTACAACGCGCTTCTTCTCCCTGCGCGCGCTGCGCGGCGCGCACACCCGGAGCGGAAGGCGCCTGTTCCTCCTGCCCCTTCCCGTCGGCCTCCCTGCTCCTGCTCCTCGCGCTCCCGCCGCTCCCTGCCCCGCTCCCTGCCCCGACCTCGGGCAGGCCCCTCCCCCTCCTGGGCGGGCGTGCACGGGCTCCAGGCCTCCCAGAGGGGGGTCCGAGCAGAGGGGGGTCGGAGGATCGCGCCGCATCGCCGAGGCATCGCCGAGGCATCGCCGAGGCATCGCCGAGGCATCGCCGAGGCATCGCCGAGGCATCGCCGAGGCATCGCCGAGGCATCGCCGAGGCATCGGCGGCGTCGGCTTGGAGAAAGTCTGGCTCCACGTCGAGCCGCATCGCCGATGCATCGGCGATGCGGCGCGATCCTCGGACCCCATTTGCCCGGACGTCCCAGCTGAACCACGGTCTCCAGAGAATGTCAGGACGGTGGTGCAGAAGGTTTGGAGCTCTGCGCTGGCATCCGCAGGAGCTGAAAGTACACGCCGGTCGCTGAAAGTAGGTATTTCTGGCTTCCCAGATCCCAATTTGCTTCAAGCGCCTTCCTACTTCAAGAGCCGGTACGTTTTTTCTGTGGTTTGTTATTCTCTGGGGGGGCCTGGACCCAATCTACCTACTTCATGTTCTTACCTACTTCTTCCGGCCGACGTGCACCCATCGGGGAGGCCCGGAGGATGGCGCGCGCACCGCGCGTGGCCCCAGGAGGCCTCTGCCGGCGCACCGCGCCCTGGCCAGGGCCCGGGAGGTCGTCGCCGAGTGGAGCCGGGGCGCCAGAGTAGTGGCCGCCTTGGGCTCCCACGAGGGCGCGAAGTTATTCGCGCCTCTCAGGAGGGGGAAAAAAACACAGACACAATTAATCGTCGATCCCCCAGGAAATATGGGAAAATATGGGAAGTTGTGGGGAAGACAAAAACCCAGAAGCTGTAGGAAAGCATAAGGGAATATTTTCATTCGTGTGTGTGTGTGTGTGTTTAGTTGTGTGTCCCAGGGCCCCTTCAGCCTCGCGCTTCGCGGCCCTCGTTCCCTCTCCCCCTCCTCCTCGGTCCTCCTCCTCTCCCTGTTGGGGGGGCGGCGCGAGGGCGCGGAGCTGCTCGCGCTCTCTCGCGCTTTTCGCGCGCGCGGAGCGCGCGCGGAGTTGGGAGCCCCATTGGTGACCGCCTTTGGGCGCGGGAGGGGGCCTGCGCTTTTCGGGCCGCGCTCCCGAGGTCGAGGTCGAAGGATTGCAAAAGCGAAGGATTGCAAAAAATCGAAGGATTGCAAAAAACCCTTCGTTTTTGCAATCCTCGGGTTTTTTTGCAATCCTTCGAACCCATGGCGTAGCCGGGCCCAGGACGTCGTCGCCGAGTGGAGCCAGGGCGCGAAAGCAGTGGCCGCCCTGGGCTCGGGAGGGGCTACGATGTTCGGGCCGCTCCTGAGATGATTGAGGTCGGGGAGCCCACTCGTGGTGGCCGAGGCTCGCCGTGGCCCGAAGCGCCCCTTCGTTCCTTAATTCTTCGCTCCTTATGGTAGCACGTTGATTGGGATGTATGTGTAGAAGTATAGATATGTGTATCTGCATATGTTTGTGTATGTGTATGTGTATATGCATATGTATGTGCATATGTATATGTATATATAAATGTATATATATGTATATATGTATATGTATATGTATATGTATATGTATATGTATATGTATATGTATATGTATATGTATATGTATATGTATATGTATACGTATATGTATATGTATATGTATATGTATATGTATATGTATATATATATAGGTATATGTATATGTATATGCATATGTATATGTATATGTATATGTATATGTATATGTATATGTATATGTATATGTATATGTATATGTATATATGTATATATGTATATGTATATATGTATATGTATATGTATATGTATATGTATGTGTATATGTATATGTATGTGTGAATGTGTATTTATATGAATATGTATATGAATATATAAAGAAAGAGAGAGAAGAGATAACAGTTTCATGAATAACAACTTTCGGAGGTCCGCGCGGGTTTCTTGGGTCTGGCGCCGGGGTCCCCTGGCGGCACCGCTGGCGCCGCCCCTGGCGCGCTCCGCGCGCAATGATGGAGGGTCCAGCGCCGATCCAAGCATTCGTGCCGCTTGCCCTTCTTGATTGGCCAAGGAGACGCATGCCAAGACATCCGACGAGTTGATTTGGGCGAGCGGCGGCCCCAGAGGTCTGGACCGCCGGCGCGGCTGGCTGCCTGTTCTTGCAGGGCGCCTCCGTCCCGAGTCGGCTTTTTCGCACGGGAGGTTCCGGATCTCCCAGAAGTGGCGCCGGTCCTGGAGTGTCCCCTGCGGTCAGCGTGGCTGGTTATTCCCAGGAAGCCCTCCCCCCCCCGAATGCCGATTGTGCGATGTGGGGCCTCGCTTCATCGCGCGCAAGGGGTCTGGATGACGTGAGCTCCTCAGAAGCTCATTAAATCGAGTATGGGCGTGTCAAAGTTGTTATGAGCAGGTAGATGTGGATCTGACTTCGTATACGTAAGGGTGGGTACGCGCGGACCGGACTACTATGAGCTAGTAGCTACTACGGGCATAATCTCGATTGCCAATACCAGCATGAGTATGACCAAGACTTCGCGTACGAATGTGAGTATGACAATGCGTCTCTGTATGCGCACGGATAAGCGTAAAGGTTTGCTAGTGCGTGTGAGTGAATATCCGCCGGTCAGCGTGATAGCGGGTGAGCGTGAGTGGCGAGTATGCCATGGTGAGTGAGTGCGGTAGCAACGTGTAAGGGCGCGTGACAGAGAGAGAGGGTGTGATGACTGAGGAAGCGGGGGGAAAAATGTCGACGACTGCGGAGGCCTGTTCTTATTGCAGGACACAGTCTTCAGGATATGGGGAGTAATCGACGTGATGGAGGGTGAGGAGGCGTATGAGGGGCAGGAAGAGGATGGCCAGTATGAGTATGATCGTGATGAAGATGCACGTGTGTCTGTAGATGGAAATGGATATCGTGATGTTGACGATGAGGATGATTCTGGTGATGATGCTGATGCTAATGTTGATAATGCTAATGCTGATCATGATGAAGCTAATGATGATGCTGATGATGACGGCAACGATGATGACGATGATGATTCTGATGATCATGATGGTGGTGATGGTGGGGACTTGGTGGAGTGCGCAGGGGCAGCGTCACGAGGATTGTGATGCTGATGAAGATTATGATGCTGCTTATGATGCTGATTGCTGCTTATCATGATGATTATTCTGGTGATTATGGTGAGGATCAATGGGCCGATGGATGGGTGTTTGTGGTGATGCTGATTATTGTGATGATGATCATGGTGATGCTGACGACGATGCCGATGCTGATGCTGATCATGATGATGATGATGATGATGATGATGATGATGATGATGATGATGTTGAATCTGATGATGAAGGTGATGATGATGCTGATACTGATGATGCTGCTGCTGTTGCTGATGATGATGGTGATGGCGATGCTGATGTTAATGACGATGATGACGCTGCTTCCGCTAATCATGATGACGATGCCGCTGCTGATGATAAGAACGATCTTCAGATTATGCTTCTGATTACGTGTGATGATGAGGATGGTGGCGATGATAATGAAGATGATGCTAATGATGACGATGGTGATGACGATGATGCTTATATCACTGACGATGATGCGGCGGATGATGAAGCTGAGGATGGTGATGGTGTTCATCATGCTGATTGTGATGATGCTGCTGCTGCTGCTGCTGATGATGATGATGATAGTAATGAGGGTGATGATGAGGATGACGGTGATGCTGTTGGTGATGATGATGCTGGTGATGGTTGTAATGATGCTGTTGCTGCTGCTGGTGATGCTGATGATTATGATGATGCTGGTGGCGCTGAGGATGACTGTGATGATGTTTGTTATGTTGATGATGATGCTGATGGTAACCTTGATGGTGTTGCTGATTATACTGATGACGGTGATGATAATGCTGATGATGATGACGATGATGCTTATAACATTGACGACGGCGCTGCTGATGATAATGAGGCTGAGGATGGTGATGCTGTTCACCATGCTGATTGTGATGACGATGCTGCCGCTGCTGCTGCTGATGATGATGATGCTATTGATGATGATGATAATGATGATGATAATGATGATGGTGATGATGATGCTGATGCTGATGCTGATGATGATGAGGATGGCTGTGATGATGATGGTGATGATGCTGGTGTTGATGATGATGTGGATCCTGATGATGATGACGATGCGACTGCTGATGATGATGCTAAGGAGAAGGAGGAGGAGGAGGAAGAGGAGGAGGAGGAGGTCGAGGAGGTGGAGGAGGAGGAAGATGGATAATCCGATGGGGAATGGGGGCGATGGGTAGAGCGTTTTCTGTTCAGGCATGTACGAGCAGCTGCTGAAGCAGCACTCGTTGCACGGGGAGGCCTCCCTAGGGTCTCTCTCTCTCTCTCTCTCCCTCTCTCTTTTATATATATATATAGGTTTACGTATATGTATGTGTATGTGTATTTGCATATGTATATGTTTAGGTGTATATTTACATATGTTTATATACGTATAGTTGTATGCATATGTATATGTATATGTATGTGTATATGTATGTGTATGTGTATATGTATATGTATATGTATATGTATATGTATATGTATATGTATAGGTATAGGTATAGGTATAGGTATATGTACATGTATATGTATAGGTATATGTGCGTGTATTTGTGTGGGTATCTAAAACTGTATATGCACAGGCCATTGTATATGTATTTTGCATTGGCATTTGTATACGTATATGCTTATGTTTATACATGTGTATGTGGATGCATACGCGTATGTGTATGTGTATGTGCATGTGCGTGCGTGCATGCATTTGTATCTGTATATGCTTACATATGTGTATATATATAGATGTTTCTTTCTCTGTCCCTCTTTCTCTCTCGTCCGTCCCCTCCCTCCCGACCTCAACTCGGCAAGCTGGCCCTGCGCTTTCCGCCCGCTCGTGACAGCTCTCACCCTCCTCTTGTATCCCTGTCCCTGCCCCCCACTATCACTCCCCCTTTCTTCGCCGATCTGGCACGTAAGCACGGATCGCTATGCCCATACACTTGTCCCTGCCACTTGACACCCATGATAATCACTCGTCCGCTCACCATCTTCCCACTATTTCCCTCGCCATCCAGGCCTTTCTATCCCTCCTCCCCCCGCCGCCATTCTCACTCCTCGCGGCTCAGTCTCATCCCTCGATCATCTCCTTCCTCCTTCCTCCTTCCTTCGCCCTCCCTCCTCCCTCGTCGCTTCCCACCTCTCTTTCGCCCTCCCCCTTTCCCCTCCCTCTCCCTCTCTCAGCCCTCGCTCGGGCATCCCGCGGGTCGCAACTCGTGGGGCCGAACCTGCGGGGGCGCGCGCTGCGTGACGCGGCCCGTGGAGCGCCGTCCGGGCCAGCGGCGGCGGGCGCGAAGGGCGGAGATGCCCACGGCCCCGGGCGGCGGCGACGCGAAGCGGCGCGCGGCCACCCTCGCCAGGGCGAGGGGGGGGCGGCATGCGGGGGATCTGCGGGGCGGGAAAATGACCACAGCCACTGCTTCTCGTTTGCGCCGCCTTCCAGCCGGCCGAACAAGAAGCAGGGGTTGTGGTCAGTTCCCTGGTGCCGAGCTCCACGAAAGTGACCACGCCCACGGCTCTGTTTCTGTTGGCTGGAAGGCGGCAACAAAAGAGAAGCAGTGGCTGTGGTCGTTTTCCCGTCCCGTAGGGGAGCGCCCCCGGCCCCGCGCGGCGGCGACGACTGCAGCGACGCGCAGTCGGCGTCAGTGGGCGGGGGGGCCGCGCGCGGCGCGCGGGGGACGCCGAGGCTCCCACTCGGCGGCGACGGCGGCGGCGGTGACGATGACGGCGACGCGAGGCGCTCGTGTTCATGCCGTCGGGGCCCCCAATGTCAACCCCTCTGCGAACGGCCTGTCTACGGAGGGCTCCTCCTCCTCCTCGACCTCCTACTCCTTCTCCTCCTCCTCCTCCTCCTCCTCTCTCCTCCTCCTCCCCCTCCCCTCTTCTTCTCTTCCTCCTCCTCCTCCTCCTCCTCCTCCTCCCCTCCCCCTCTTCTTCTTCTTCCTCCTTCTCCTCCTCCTCCTCCTCCATTTCCTCCTGCTGCTGCGCGCACGTGGTGGCGGAGTCGCCGTCGCGTCCACGATGCCGTGCGCACGCGGCCCACCAGCGGCACGAAGGAGAGGGGCAGCAGCAGCAGCAGCCACCCAACTCACCCCGAGGCCCGCTCCTCCCACCCATCCCGTCCCCATCCCCATCTGAGGCAGCGAAGGAGCGGGAGTGCCATCGCCCTGCTGCATCGAAAGTCGTCGCCGCCGTCGCCAGCGGGCGCAGCACCGGGGACGGCCCAATTGGGGGCGGCAGCGCCCCGACGGACGCGGAGGATCGCGGGACCCAAACAGACAGATGGACGGGGCGGCCTTTGGGGGGCGGAGCAGTGCGTTGAGCAAGAGGGATGGGCCCCCGCCATCGCCGGGGGCCCAAACGGCGAAAGGAGCACGTGCTGCCTGCGCTGGGCGCGCCCCCGCTCGGGGCCTCGTGGCCACCCGCGGCCTGGGGCGCCACCGCCGCGCGGGAGCTGCCTCGCGGAGCGCGGCGGCCTCGCGCGCCGGGGCTGCGCCTCCGCCGTCGCGCTCCGCACGACTTGGGCCATCGTGGGCAGCTCGTCTCGGAGGAACCTGTCGCAGGCCTAGAGTTGTGGAGGACGATGCATGGAGAGGAAGCATGCTACCAAATGATTTCCAGATGTCTGCTATATGTTTCAAATCTGTTTTTTGCTGGCAAATGTTGACAACATGCTTGGAACATGTTTATACATGCATTGCACACATTAAACACATCTTTAACTCAATGATAGGACTGGCATCCGAAAGCCTAGAGGTTGACACCAGCACCAATATCGGCGGTGTGCCTCCACCGAGGGAAGAGGACCCCGATCTTGGTGATGGTGGCCATATTCTGGCTTACAAGGTGACCGACATATCACCACCAGCACCGAAATCTAGGATCGTCTTCCCCCTGTGATGGCAACCCTCTGTGTTGGTGTTGGTGCCCATTCACAGGCCTCCAAACCTGGTCTGCAGGCTGAAGGCCACGAAGGCCACGGCCACCAGCTCCGCGTTGTCGTCGGAATTCCGCTGGATGGCCAGTCGCGTCAGGCGGAGCTCGGTGGCGGGGGCCTGCCGCGGCCTGGCCGCCGCCGCGGCCGCCTCCAGGCCGACGTGATCGGGGAGGTCCGTGCGCCTGGCGCCCGCACCGGCCACTTCCTGCCCGTCGACACCTGCAAGGGCAGCGCCGGAGGGCGCCGTGGAGCGCGCGGAGGGCGCGGGGGAGGGCATCGGCGCGCCGCGGCGGCGCCCAAGGGTGTCCTCCTCGCCGTCCAGGGTCGCATCGTGGGGAGGCCCCTCCGCGGGCCGGCCGGTCGTGCCCGCGCCCGTGCCCGCGTGCCCGCGGCTGCCGCCTCGAGGGCGCTGGCGCGGCGGAGGAGGCCGAGCGCCTCGTGGGGCGCGCCCCATCGTCCGGCGCAGCCTGGGGCGGGCCGCCAGCGACGGGGTGGCGATCCCGCCATGAGCCAGGTGCCGCGGCGGGGGTTGGAACCGCGGCGGCCCCTCGCAGCTCGGCAGCACGGCGCCGTCGCCGTGGCCCTCCTCATCGCTCTGCTTGTCCTCGGCCGTCGGCTCGTCGGCGTGTGTGTCGCCGTTGTTGCCGTAGCCCACCGCTTGCACGCCATGCTGCCTGCTCTCTTCCTGGCCATCGCTTCCCCGGTATACGGTTTTGCCGCAAGTGCAAGCCGCCCGAGACCCACCCGCGACCCACTCTGAGACCCACCCTCGACCCACCCGCGGCACACCCGCGACCCACCCGCGACCCACCCGCGACCGAGCTCGCGACCCGCGTCCCACTCGCGATCCATCCGCGACCCTCCCCGCGACCCATCCACATTGCTTTGACGAAAAATCATCGCCCGTGGCGGGCTCGTTGTATGACTTGTCAAAGTAAGTTGCCTGCGGCGGGCTTCTTCATAGCCTCGCAGACTGCTGACGTCCCCTCCTCCCCCTCACTCTTATCCGCAACTGCGGGGTGCTGCATATCTTTGTACACTCGCATGTATGTGTGCCTGTATGTATGTATGCATGCATGCAAGCATACATGTATATGGGTATACATGCATACATGTATGTATGCATGTATGTAGATATGTATGCATGTATTTATACATGTACGTATGCAGGAAGGTACATATGTAGGTACTCATGCATGCATGTATGCACGCATGTGTGTAATTGTGTATGTATGCATGCATGCAGGTATGCACTTATGTATGCCATGCATGCATGCCTGTATGCATGTATGTATGTATGCATGCACGCATGTATGTATGTATGCATATATGCATGTACTATGTATGTGTATGTATGTATATATGCCTGCCTGTCGGTATGTCTGTTTGTATGCATGTATGTATGTATGTTTGTATGCATGTAGATATGTATGTATGCATGTCTGTGTGTATGCATGTACGTATGTAAACGTACATGTATGTATGTGTCTATGTATGCATACATGCATGTATGCATGCATGCATGTATGCAGGTATGTATGTTTGTATGTAGGTAGATCTATATGTATGTATGTGTGTATGTATGTATGCATGCATGCATGCATACATGCATGCATGTATGTATGTACGTGCGTATGTATGTATGTATGTATGTATGTATGCATGTATGTATGTATGTATGCACATATGTATGTGTGTATGCCAGTATGCATGTATGTATGCATGCATGTATGTAGGTGTGTATGTATGTATGTATGTATGCATGTATGTATGCATGCATGCATGTATGTATGTATGTATGTATGTATGTATGTATGTATGTATGTATGTATGTAGGTGTGTGTATGTACGTATGTATGTATGTATGTATGTATGCATGCATGCATGCATGTATGTATGTATGCATGTGTACATGCATGTATGTATGTACGTACGTACATATGTATGTATATATGTATGCATGTATGTACGTATGTATGTATGTTTGTATGTATGTATGTATGTATGTATGTATGTAGGTGTGTGTATGTACGTATGTATGTATGTATGTGTGTATGTGTGTATGTATGTATGTATGTATGCATGCATGCATGTATGTATGTATGTTTGTATGTATGTATGTATGTATGTATGTATGTATGTATGTATGTATGTATGTATATCTACATGTTGTCTGTGCATGCGGCTTTGGGCGCGGCCGTCGGCATCCACCTCGACGGGCTCGCCTGCGCGTCTCGGCCGAGGAGGAGGCGCTCCTCCTCGGACATGCCCACGGAAGGCTTTTGGCCGTTCTCGGCCTCCGGGGGCACTCGCCGGGCCCCGGGACTGTCCAACAACGACTCGGGATGAAGAGCCGGCTCCGAGAAATCCTCCTCCTCCTACCTCCTCCTCCTCCTCCTCCTCCTCCTCCTCCTCCTCCTCCTCCTCCTCCTCCTCAGTGGGACCCGTCGGAGCCCCGCATTACTCCTGGAGGTCCACGTATTGAAAAAGTCCAGGCATCGCATGTCTGGGCCCTCTTCTCCTCTTTTCCGCTCCCGCTTGCCATCCTCCGAATGGCCGGGGGCCATCGCGCTTCGCGCACGGTTCTCGCACCATGGCGTCCGTCATCTGTTTTTGCTCGGTGTGCCGTTTGCGGGGGTCAAGAGAGTTCTGCCTCGGTGCGGTCAGGTCAAGTTCCGAAGGGACTCCGGTTCGGCTTGGCTCGGCGTTCTGAACAACACCGTGCCCGACCGCATCGCCACGGCAGCCTCGATCACGCTCGTCCACACCTCATACAACTTGGTCCTTCGAACTTCCTGGGCGCGTTCGTTTCCGCGGCCGCCTTTGGCTGCGCCACTGCATGTCCAGCTGGCGACCGACTCCTCGAGGCGAGCCGTTGGTGGCGTGTTTGCGGTCTTCAGAGGCGATCGCGCCGGCGCCATTGGCCAGTGGAGTGCCTCCCAGAGGGGCCAGCCCCCAGTGGCTTGTGGTGCTGTGCCCCGGCGGCGCAGGCTGCAGCGTGTTTTTGTCGACGATCGGCTTCCAGCCGCCTGGTGACTCGAACCCTTCTCTCCAAAACGGTTTCCCGCCCCCGATCACCGAGTACTCCCCCCCCCCTCCGAGTTCTCTCTCCCCCCCCCTCCCTCCCAAGCAAGTCGTTTAGAAGAGAAGGGGAAATCGGGGATACACCCCCGCCAGAGTGCTGCTCGAACGCGCCCCTGTCGAGGATCGACCCTGCCCCCCCCCCCCTCGTATGGAGTGGGGCCCCGAATCATTTTGCACGCGTCGAGAGTCCCATCAGGCCGGGGAGTGGCGGCGCCACGCAGCTGGCACGAGGGTTCAGAGCAGGCGAGCAGGCCTATCGGTCCGAACGAGAGGGGTGATGAGCCTGTTTTGCACCACCACCACCAGAAGGGAGGAAGGAGGAGGAGGAGGAGGAGGGAGGAGGAGGAGGAGGAGGAGGAGGAGGAGGAGGAGGAGGGGAGGAGGAGGAGGAGGAGGACGAGGAGGAGGAGGAGGAGGAGGAGGAGGAGGAGGAGGAGGAGGAGGAGGAGGTGGAGGAGGAGGCGGGAAGGAGGAGGAGGAGAAAAAGGAGGATCCCCCCCTCCGACTCATGGTGGTGGTGGTGGTGGTGGTGGTGGTGGTGGTGGTGGAAAACACCCCCATCAAGAGGGGGATAGGGAAAGGGGGGGGGTACGAAATCTGCTGCATGCAGCTGGTTTCGGCCCCGCCGCCAGGCCATCCCTCGATACACATGGGCGCCTCCCGGCGCCGGGAGGCGCTGGGAAAATCAGCTGTACGTGAGCTGATTCTCCGCGATTCCCCCCTTTTGGCCCTTCCGACTCCAGCGGGGCACCTTTATTCTCTTGCACAGGGTGCCTCGAGCTCGGACCATTTTATTCCGCGTCGCACCCCCCCACGCGTCCCCAGCGCCAGAGTGGGACCCCCGCGCCGTGGCTCTCTGCCCCGAGCCCCCCCGCGTCCCCAGCGCCCCGGCGGGAGCCCCGCCCACTGCCCCCTCCGCCACGAACGCTTCATTCCGCGTCGCCCCCCCCTCCCCCGCCGTCCCCAGCGCCCAGGGGTGGGACCCCCCGCGTCGTGGCTCTCTGCCCCGAGCCCCCCCGCGTCCCCAGCGCCCCAGCGGGAGCCCCGCCCACTGCCCCCTCCGCCACGAACGCCTTATTCCGCGTCGCACACCCCCCCCCGCGTCCCCAGCGCCAGAGTGGGACCCCCGCGCCGTGGCTCTCTGCCCCGAGCCCCCCGCGTCCCCAGCGCCCCAGCGGGAGCCCCGCCCACTGCCCCCTCCGCCACGAACGCTTTATTCCGCGCCGCGACGCACACCACTCCCCCACCTCCTCCCGCGTCCGCGCCCAGTGGCCCCACCCCGTGGCCCTCTGCCAAGCCCCGCCAGTGCCCCCCCTTCTGCCGTCCATTTTATTTTTCGCGGATCGCACTCACCTCCACCTCCCCACCTACCCCTCTACCCCTTCCCAGCGTTCTCCGCGGCCCAGTTGAAACCTTAGCCAGGTGCCCCTCCACCCCCCCCCGGCAATTTTTTCAGCCGTCGCACCTCGGCCCCCCCCCCCCCCTCTCCGCCCCCCCACTGGCCCCTCCCCAGCATTCCCAGCGGCCAGATGAACTTCCGCCCAGCGCCCCCTCCGCCCCGACCATTTTATTCCGTGTCGCACCGCGCCCCCCCCCCGTCCCCGCCCCCCTCCTACCCCTCCCCAGCGTTCCCCAGCGGCCCAGTGGAACCTCTGTCCAGAGCCCGTTCCGCCCCGACCATTTTATTCCGCATCGCGCCGCGCCCTCCCCCTCCCCGCCGCCCCCCCCGCTGTCCCACCCCTTCTCAGCGTTCCGCCGCACCTTTTCCTTCATTCCCCGCCCCTCCCTTCCCACGCCCCCCACCCAGCGTTCAGCGGCCCAGTGGAACCTCCGCCCAATGCCCCACCCCTCCACCCCGACCGTGTTACTCCACGTACTTCGCGCCCCGCCCCGCCGCATCCCCCCCCCTTTCCCGCCACCCTCCCCCCCGCCCCAGCGTTCCCCGGCGGCCCAGTGGAACCACCGCCCAATGCCTCCTCCGCACCGATAATTGTATTCCGTGTCGCACCGCGCCCCTCCTCCCCGCCCCCCATCCCTTCTCTCTTCAGCGTTCCCCAGCGGCCCAGTGGAACTTCCGCCTAGTGCCCTCCTCCGCCCTGACCATTTTATTTCGCGTCGCACGGCGCGCCCCGTCCCCGCCCCCCATCCCCCCACTCCCCAGCGTTCCCCAGCCGCCCAGTGGATCCCCCGCCCGCCGCGTGCCCCCTCCGCCCCCGTTTCGGGCCCCTGGGGAGTTCTTCGGATCCTCTGCAGACTTTTTGGGTGTTTGTTGGAGGCCTCCTGGGAACATGTTGAACGTCTTGGAGGCCATCTCGCGGGGGGGGGCCCGTGGAGCCTACTCGAGCTCGCCCTGTCAAGCCCATCTTGCGGCCCTCGTTGGGCTCTCCTTCTCCGGTTTCTCGCACCCGACACATCCCTCTCCCGTCCTGCTCCTTCACCTCCTCCTCCTTCACATCCTCCTCCTCCTCCTCCTCCACCTCCTCCTCCTCCTCCTCCTCCTCCTCCTTCACGGCCTCGGACCTTCGGCGACGGAGCCCGTCTCTGTGAAGGCGGGGAACAACACACACACAGACACAATTACACGCCGGTCGTTGAAAGTGGGTATTTTTGGATTCCCAGATCCCAGTCTACTTCAAGCGCCTTCCTACCTCATGAATCGACCTGATATTGCTGTGTTTTGTTACTCTCCGGGGGGACCTGGACCCAATCTACTACATCCGCCTTCCTACTTCATGTTTCTACCTGCTGCTTCCGACCGACGTGTAATCGGCGGTTCTCAGGAAACCATGCGAAACTATGGGAAGTGGGGGTGGGAAGGCGAACAGCCAACACATCTGGGAACGCATGGGGAATCCTGTTTTCTGTGTCCACGTATTTGTGTATCCCTGGGCCCCATTCGTTCTCCTTGTGGCCGCGGTTCGGCTGCACCTCCTGTTCTTGTCCAAGACGTCTCCTCGCGAGCCCGACGACGGAGCTGCACCACGAGACGCCGCGACCTCGGCACCGCCCCAGCATGCTCGCGCTCTGTGCGCGTCGGCCGCGCGCACGCTCGGACACCTCGCAGCAGCAGCTCCGCGGCGGGCGCTTTTGCGGCCATGCCGCCCGGGAGACGATGCACTACACGGTGCTGTGCGGAGGTATTCGTCGGAGGTGGACGGACCTCCTACCCTGACACGTCGATGAAGGAATTGGCCGTTGTCGCTTCGCGAGGTGGCGTCGCGGCCGTCATTTTTGTTGCGGGTCCAGGTCCGTCGGTTTCGGCCCCAGGCCGTTTTCACTAAGGGGAGGTTTGCTAAAGGGAGGTTTGCTAAAGGGAGGTTTGTCCACCGCCGAATTCGGGTCGGACGTGCGCCTCCAGCAGTGGCACGCCGTGGTTCTGTCCTTGCGCGTCCCGCGCCGCGCCGCGGGGGGGGCCTCCCGGGGGGGGGTGGGGGGGGGCGCGGAGGCCCTGAAGCGCTACATCCTCAAGGAGGCGGAGTTCCAGATTACGCCGCGGCTGCTGCGGCTCCCCCAGGCCTCGCCCCCCTCCCCCCCCTCCTCCCCTCTTGCCGCTGATGTGCAAGCGCCGTGGTCGCCCTCGTTTCAGTGCAGTGTGTGTGTGTGTGTGTGTGTGTGTGTGTGAGCCGTTTGGCTCCTCTTTTGACTTTGTTCCGTTGTTGTGTCGTGGAACTCACGGTCACCCCCCAGAGGGCCCGCCCACCTCGGGGGGTGTCGGTCGGCTGCATTCGCGTGAACGTCCCCGCCCCCTCCTCCGCTGCAGCAGGCACATCGAGTCAGACATGGGCCTGGCAGCCCATGCCCCAATGGAGGTCTCTTAGCCCCAGCAGGGGCCCACAGAGGTTCTGGGGCACCGTGGGGCACCTCGGGACCCTCCAGGATCGACGAAGAGAGTGCCCCAGTTGCTCCACAAGTTTTTCATAGCGAGATGTGCTTTCGTACCGAACGGACTTCGGCCCACCCCGCCACTGTGCCTGGGTGGTGGGAGTGAAGCCTATTGGATGTTCGTTGGGATCTCGTGGGAGGCCTCTCGGGGGACTCTTTGGGAGTCAGTTTTGAAGCCTCTTGGGGGCCGTTTTTGGGCCTCTTGGGGCCTCTTGGGGGCTTCTTGGGGCCTTTGGGGGGCCTCTTGGGCGCCTCTTGAGGCCTCACGGGGGCCTCTTAGGGCGGACGCCCAGAATTTTCGGTTCGTGTTCCCTCTCTTGGGTGCCTTTTTGGGCCGTCTTGGGATATATGTGTAGCGAACATAGCGAGCGTGCCGCCTTCGTCTGGCCCAAGGTGCCGGCCCCCTGGATGCTCGGACCGCTATAGGATCTTGTGGCCCACTATCGCACCTAAAACAAGACCCGATCAGTCTTCTGGATGGTACAGTAGCCGCCGCCTCGCGCCTTCTCGTGGCCTCCTCCGCCGCTCGGCTCCTGGCATGGGCCAGCTGCCGCGGGAAGCGTGTAGATCGCTTACCGTCCGTGGTCCAGGGAACCCGCGAGCCACCAGAGAACTCCTAAGGGGCAAAAAGAGAAGTCTCCTGGATGGTACACCATCTTACACCATGTCCCAAACCTCTTACTACACGGTCCCCATCCTGCTTCTTACTCCCACTGGGGAGGGGGGAGGCCGACAGGCTCTCTCGATAGGGCCCAGGCGGTCCAGGACCGCCCCGCGGCTGCCCCCAGCCGCACCCCCAAGATGAAGAACCGTTCAGCGCCAAAAAAACAACACATAAAACAAGCAAAAACATAGAAGCAACGACGTTTCTATGTTTTCCCTGGTAGGCTCTGCCTAGAAGGGTTCTTACTCGGTATGCTTAAAGGGCCGGGCAGTGGGAACCGCCCCGGGCGGTTCCCCGGCATCCGCCCCGCGGTTCCCCCAGTGACGTTCCCTTAGCTTAGCGTTGCTTATCTTATTTTAGCTTAGCTTATTTCATCTTAGCTTAGCGTAGCTTCATCTTAGCTCAGGTGTATCTTAGCTCAGCTTACCTTCATCTTAGCTTCGCTGAGCTTTAGCATAGCAGAGCACATCATAGCATAGCATAGCGTAGCATAGCATAGCGCAGCATATCATATCATAGCATCGCCCAGCATTAGCATGGGTGTAATTCTCTACCTAGGCTCTGCCTAGAGGGTTAGCTTAGCTCAGCTTAGCTTAGCATAGCATAGCATAGCATTGTATTGCGCATCATAGCATAGCATACCATAGCATAGCACAGCGCAGCTTAGCATAGCATAGCATATCATATCATAGCACAGCGCGGTATGACATAGCATATCATAGCATATCATATCATATCATAGTATAGCGCAGCATAGCATATCATAGCATATCATAGCATAGCATATCATGGCATAGCGTAGCATAGCATAGCATAGCGCAGCATAGCCTGGCATAGCATAACATAGTATAACATAGCAACTAATGCTGCTTTCCTAGGGGCTCCAACTTCTAGGTAGGGTCGCACTGGGGTAATTCAACAAAACGAGCATGAAGAACCGTTTAGCGTCCACACAAACTTGTCGAATCACCTGGGTGCCTCGGTCTTGCTTCTGCAGGCACTCAACTCTCCTGGTTGACCCTCGTGCCGCCGAGCGGGCGCCCCAGACCTGCCACGCACAGCCGAACAGCTGCCATGGCCGGGGGGGGCCACAGGTGTCCCCTCCGAGGTCAGGAACACTCTTCGTCACACGTGTCGTCTCGGCGCGCTTCTTTCCTCCACTGGGCCTCCTGCGGTCCAGGGACGACCCAGCGCCACAACCAGGTAAGCTCCTGTGGGCTCCCCCCCCCAGACAAGATGCCCTTGCCGCTCCGAGACGACCCGAGACGGCCCCTCAGCTGCCTCTTGTCGATGCTGAGACCAGCGTCGTTCGACCGGGCCCTATCGCATGCGCCGTTGAGCCAACCAAGAAGCTCAGGCGTCCTGTTCTCGACGAGGGTGAGGAGCGTGTTGCTGCCACGTGGTATGCGAAGAAGAGGCGCCGCTTCGGGGATCGATGCGCGAGCATCGAAAGCTTGGCACAATCCAGGAGGAGGAAACGAACGAGCACGCAAAAGGTTCCCCGCCGGAGGCCTGGCCCAGGCGCGGCTTGGTAGAAGCGTGGCCGAAGCTGGCGGATCTTATGGTCAAGCACCCGAGTGAGGTCGCCGCCTGCAGGTCCCAAACCGACCCCTCGCTGGCGGTTCGGCGGCCGTCTCAGACCCAGATCGCCGCACTGCCGGCAGCCTGCCGCAGGGAACGCAGGGGCTGCAGCGGTGCAGTGGGCTCGCGTCCTGCCGACGCGGCGGCGACCCCAGCGTGGGCTGGGCGCCCGAGGTTGAAAACCGCGCCGCCAGTGGCCTGGGATCGGCCGGCATCGAGCGATTGGCGCCGTCGGGAAAGCCGCGATCGCTCGAGCTTGAAGGATCCACGCGGTGTCCTCCTCCTCCTCCTCCTCCTCCTCCTCCTCCTCCTCCTCCTCCTGCGCCGAAGTCGTCCCGGCACGCGCCTGCCGCAGACGATCGTCGAGCCGCCGGCACCCCGCAGTGGAGAGCGCAGAGGGGCCGCGGTGGCAGCTGCGCCGCCCGGCCGTGCGCACTGGCGAGTCAAGGGGGAGTGGAGGTCGGGCGTAGCGCTGTGGGGGGTCGATGGGTGTCAGCCACGCGCAGAGGGTAGGGGGAGGGGGAGCGCGTCTCAGAAGCAGGGGGGGGGGGGGCTTCTTAGAAGCACCCTCTGGGTCTTGGGAAGGCGCGGGCCCTATCTACGGATGTAGGGTCGGCGCCTCCTTCTATGGAGCCGCCTCCGTCTATGAAGCCTCCCCCCCTCCCCCTACAATTAAGTCGGGCGTGTCCCCCTACAGGGGGATTTTCCCAGAAACAAAAAAAATACCCCCAAAATGCACCAAAGAGGCAACACAAATACCCCCTAAAATAGTACCCAGACTATTTTGGGACTCTTTCTTGATTATTTTTTGGGGGTATTTTTCATTGTTCGTCGAAAATCCCCCCTGTAGGGGGACAGGCCCGACTTAACCATACCACCTTGTGCGCGCCGTTGAAAGTGTGTGTGTGTGTGTGTGTGCGTGTGTGCGTGTGTGTGTGTGTGTGTGTGTGTGTGTGTGTGTGTGTGTGGTGTGTGTGGGGGGCGGTGAGGAGAGGTGCACCGCTTGTCCCCCAGATCCCCCGGCATGGGGCCCCGAAGGTGCCCCCATTGGGGCCCAAAGGGGGCGCGGAGGGTGCCCGCTTCTCCCCCTCCCATCACGCAGCGCCCACGGCGAAGGCGGGGGGTTGGGCGGGGCTCTGACGAGGAGCAATCCACTCTGAGGAGGCCGCGGCGCCCGAGACATCCTCCAGAGACGTCGGATCTCAGATATTCTCGATTTCTCCCACCACCATCACCACAACTGAGCCGAGCATCCAGCGTGGGCAGAAGTGTGCGCAAGTGGCAACTCTTCGGGAAATATAATAAAGACGACGGCTGAGAGACTCGACTGTGAAGCAGAAGCAACAAACGTCACAGGCGCGAGCGCCTCACGACTGTGAAGCGGAAGCCACAGCGCCCGACTGTGAAGCAGAAGCTGAACTGCTCGCAAGCTTAGAGCACAGGAAGGAAGGAGGAGGCGAGAAGGAAGGAGGTGGAAGGGGGGAAAGCAACGTTACATATACAAACTACACCTGTTCAGTAAGCGACTGCACTGGCGAAGCCCACTGCTGCCTTGGCCCGTCCCTCTTGCGGCGTGCAGACTCATCTCTAGTAACCCCGCTTTCGTTAGCAAGTGTACGCTTTACAAACGAGCAAGCGTCATACGCAGCTATTTTATTGTAAATTTTATGTTGATCAGAAAACAGCATTTGCAAAAGCGGTTTCGCTGAGGCCTTTGCAACACGCTCGCGTTACTCACCCTGGAAAGGTATGCCGATTGGATGCCTAAGATTCGCCTCAGACTCTTGCAGTGGAAGGCGTCCAGCACGATCCGCTCTTAGCAAGCAGGAGCATCCAAGGAATAGAGGAGCTTGCTAAGGACCGCACTGTTGCAGGTTCTCGATTCTCATGACCACACGGGACCTTCTAGCAACCATCGAGAATCTCGCCAGGAGAGAAAAGCACACACAGACACAATTAATCGCCGACTTCCCAGAATAGATGGGAAAGTATGGGAAGTGGGGGGGAAGACAGAAACCCGGAAAATATGGGAGAATGCGGGGAATCCGGTTATTTGTGCCTATTTATTTGTGTGTCCCTGTTCCCTTCACTTCGACTTCTCCCCGCCCGGTTTTTATCCGTCCTGGCTTCGTATTGGGGGGGGGGGGGGTCGAGGCCACCCCCAGAACTCGGGAGGGCTCGCGCGGCGCAGGCCCCTCGGAGGAGGGCGAGGACGAGGTCGAGGAGGAGGAGGAGGACGAGGACGACGACGAGGAGGGCGAGGACGAGGAGGACGAGGTCGAGGAGGGAGGGCGAGGACGAGGAGGGCGAGGAGGAGAGAAGAGGAGGACGAGAGGTCGAGCACGACGACGAGGAGGGCGAGGACGAGGAGGAAGATGTCGAGAGGATGGCGAGGACGAGGAGGCGAGCCGAGGACGAGGGCGCGGAGGACGTCCCCCCCTCGCCCCCCCCCCCCCTCTCGCGCAGGAGAAAGCGGGTGGCGAGGCGGCGAACTACTGTACCCTCACACCCACTACGGCGCCTTCCACACCAGCAACCGCCGCGCCGCGCCCTCGGGCGGCGGGGGGCGGCGCGGCGACCCCCCCCCCCCCCCCGGGCGGCGCAGCTCCCGGCTTCTCGCGCTCCCTGCCGCGGCCCGGCCACGTGCAGAGCGGGGGCGGCCAGGAGGGGGGTGATGATTAGGGTTAAGTCGGACGTGTCCCCCTGCAGGGGGATCTTCCACGAAAGATACAACATATACCAACAATATCCCAAACATGCCCCAAAAAGGCCAAAACATACCCCCAAAATAGTCTCCAGACTATTTTTGGATTATTTTTACCTCACAGCGAAGACTGATAGGTTTCTAGTGGTGGCGAAAGAGAGCATCTTGACGCCCCAGGGGGGTCTGGGCGGGATCCGGACAAAGCCGGCAGAATCCGGCAGCCCCAGGAATCCTTAGGAATCCTTAGGAATTCTTTGGAATCCTTAGGGTTCCAGTCCCAGAACACAACTCCCAGGCCACATTTTGAATGCCCAGAACCAACTGTAGCCCACTTTGTGATGTTCGTGTTCCCAGAACACCATTCCCAGGCCGCATTTTGAATGCCCGGAGCCAACTGTAGGCCACTTCGTGTTCTTCGTGTTCCCAGAACACCATTCCCAGGCCACATTTTGAATGCCCGGAGCCAACTGTAGGCCACTTCGTGTTCTTCGTGTTCCCAAAACACAATTCCCAGGCCACATTTTGAATGCCCCGAGCCAACTGCAGGCCACTTCGTGTTCTTCGTGTTCCCAAAACACAATTCCTGTACCATATTTTGACTGCCCGGAGCCAACTGCAGGCCACTTCGTGTTCTTCGTGTTCCCAGAAAAACTCGAAGAGTCCTGTGCCATATATTTAATGCCCGGCTGAGGCATGCTTCAGGCCGAGTCAGGCTGAGGCCCGAGGCAGGCTTGAGCTTGAGGCTGAGGCCTTGAGCACGCCGAGGTAGTCTTGAGGCTGAGGCTGAGGCTGAGGCAGGCTGAGGCTGAGGCCGAGGCTGAAGGCAGACTGAGGCTGAGGCTGAAGCAGGCTGAGGCTGAGGCTGAGGCAGGCTGAGGCTGAGGCAGGCTGAGGCTGAGGCTGAGGCAGGCTGAGGCTGAGGCTGAGGCTGATGCAGGCTGAGGCTGAGATGCTGACGCTGAGGCTGAGGCAGGCTGAGGCTGAGGCTGAGGCCGAGGCAGGCTGAGGCTGAGGCTGGCTGAGGCTGAGGCCGAGGCAGGCTCTAGGAGGCCTGAGACTGAGGCTGAGGCAGGTGAGGCTGACGCTTGATTTTTTTGTTCTTTGAGGATTTTTTCCGTTGAAGGCGAGAGGGCAGCTGACGCTGAGGCTGAGGCAGGTGAGGCAGGCTGAGGCGAGGAGGCGAGGGCAGGCTGAGACTGAGCTGAGGCAAGCCGAGGCAGGCTGAAGGCTGAGGCTGAGGCTGAGGCTGATGCAGGCTGAGGCTGAGGCAGGCTGAGGCTGAGGCCGAGGCTGAAGGCAGACTGAGGCTGAGGCTGAAGCAGGCTGAGGCTGAGGCTGAGGCAGGCTGAGGCTGAGGCTGAGGCAGGCTGATGCTGAGGCAGGCTGAGGCTGAGGCTGAGGCTGATGCAGGCTGAGGCTGAGGCACGCTGAGGCTGAGGCCGAGGCTGAAGGCAGACTGAGGCTGAGGCTGAAGCAGGCTGAGGCTGAGGCTGAGGCTGAGGCTGAGGCAGGCTGAGGCTGAGGCTGAGGCTGTGGCTGAGGCTGACGCAGGCTGAGGCCGAGGCAGGCTGAGGCTGAGGCTGATGCAGGCTGAGGCTGAGGCAGGTTGAGGCTGAGGCTGAGGCACGCCGAGGCAGGCTGAGGCTGAGGCTGAGGCAGGCTGGGGCTGAGGCAGGCTGAGGCTGAGGCTGAGGCAGGCTGAGGCAGGCTGAGGCAGGCTGAGGCTGAAGCTGAGGCCGAGGCAGGCTGAGGCTGAGGCCGAGGCAAGCCGAGGCAGGCTGAGGCTGAGGCTGAGGCTGATGCTGAGGCAGTCTGAGGCTGAGACAGTCTGAGGCTGAGGCTGAGGCAGGCTGAGGCTGAGGCAGGCTGAGGCGGAGGCCGAGGCAGGCGAAGCCTTCGGAATCCTTAGGATTCCTCAGGAATCCTTCGGAATCCTTAGGAATCCCTAGGAGTTAGGATCCCTACGGATTCGTAAGGTTTCCTAAGGATTCCTACGGATTCCTGAGGATGCCTAAGGATGCCTTAGGAATCCATAGGAATCAGGATTCCTAAGGATTCCTAAGGTTTCCTAAGGATTCCTATGGATTCCTAAGGATGCCTAAGGATGCATTAGGAATCCCTAGGAATCCTTAGGATTCCATTGGAGCCTAAGGCCGTTGCCACTGCGACTGTCATTGCAAATGCGACTGCGACTGCGAGAACAGCAGAATTCTACAACTGGATTCTCACCTGAATCGTAAGGGGAATGCTTCCAGATATGCTTATACACATCGCTGTTAGGTTGCTTTGCCGGGATAATTTGATTATTTTGTTTTTTATTGTTCGTCGAAAATTCCCCTGTAGGGGGACACGCCCGACTTAAGATTAGGGGGGGGGATCTCGTGGCGTGGGCCATGATACTTCCTCGGATTTCATGGTGCCTCTTCTTATTCCATCACGTCCCTGGCCCCCGTCGTGGGCCGCGCACGTGCCGCCGGCCATGATTTGCGCCCCCCCCCCCCCTGGACGCCCCCCTCTTGGCCGCCCCCGAGCAGAGGTGGGTGGGGGGAGGGGGAGGGCTTCTTAGAAGCACCCCTGCTTAAGTCTTAAAAGGCGCGGGCCTCATCTATAAGTGTAAGGCCGGCGCCTTTTAAGGAGCAGCCTCCTAAAGAAGCCCTCCCCCCTCCCTCCACCCCCTTGTGCGCGCCACCGGGTGGCCCTGGCGGGCCCCCGGGGGCGCTCTGGAACGGCACCCGCAGGCCCTCGAGTTCCTTCCGAGATGTCCGATGCATCCAAGATGTTGGCTGCCTTTCGAAGGCAGCATGTCGTGCGCCTCGGGGCGAAGGACACTTTCGAGCCCTGCCTCGCGGCTCCTGTCTCGCTTTTGCTCAGGTGCTCGCGGCACGAGAAGAGCTTCAGGGCTGCAGACTGGCGTCGCACAACAAAGAGTTCAGGGCGGGGGGTTTATGCATCACAAACGCCTGGGTGTTCGATCTTCGCGGATCTCAACAGGCGGTTGACATATCGACATACTCGGCCCCCCGGGGGGCCGAAATAGATCCATATCCACCTCCCGCTGGGGCACCAGGACGTCGGTTCCCAGGCGGTGGATATGGATAGTTCCCCGCCTCGCGAAGAACGGCATGAAGATGAACTTCTGGCGGTCCGCGCGGATCTCTTGGATCTGCGCGTGCCCCCCCCCCGCCACCCCTGGCGCGCTCCTCGCGCAGATTCAAGAACTCTGTGCGGACCTCCGAAAGCGGATGTCTATGCAGCTTTTTCTCCCTCTGAGGTGTCCCTGGCCGAAGGTGCCTCCAGCACGTCGCGCTTCTTTCTGGAGCCCCGAGGGCCCCCCTGGGACGCGTGAGGGGAGCTCTGGGGTCCGTGGGGGCCTTCTTGGAAATCCTGGGGGCGCCTCTGGGCCAGTGGCCCGTCTGGCAGCACCCGACCCCGGGCGTCTCTGCTCAGGGAGCACCTCGTGTCATCTGGTTGCAAGCCCAGCGATTGATGGATGTCATCCGCACGCAGATTGATCAGGTTCCATGTTGCACGGACAGGGGGCGAGGGAGGAGTTTCATGTACTTGCCATCATCATCGCCACTCCTCGACTGTACATGCGACCTATGGGCGTTCATCAGTAAGAGTCAGGTACGGGCAAAGCGCGCTGGCCGCCTGGAGTAGATGCCCATCATCACGGTCTCCCGATGCGCAACCGTAGTTTTGTAAAAAGACCAAAGGTAATTTACCGTGACCAGGAGATCTTTCTGGAGCATCGAGTAGTACTTTGTACCGCTCGCGAGCACGCAGAATTCGGATTTGGACGTGATGGATCGAATGGGCATTCGGCGTCAAGCGCCGTGCGGATCGACGAGGTCCTTGGACAGAAGAGGACGGATGGCAAAAAGAAGGCGCCGTCCAGGAGGAGGAGGAGGAGGAGGAGGAGGAAGTGGAGAAGGAGGAGGAGGAGGAGGACGAGAAGGAGGAGGAGGAGGTGGAGGAGGATGGGGATGGGGATGGGAATGGGCATGGGCATGGGCATGGGACTGGTGATGGGGATGGGGATGATAATGCTGATGATGATGATGCTGATGATGCTGATGACACGATGATGATGATACCGACGGTGATGATGACGATGATGATGCTGATGACGATGCTGATGATGATGAGGATGATGCTGATGATTATGATGGTGATTCTGATTATGATATTGCTGCTGAGGATGATGGTGATTGTGATGGTGATTGGTTATGACTGAGGTTGCGATGGTGCTGGTAATGCAGATGCTGATGATGCTGATGATGATGATTATGATGATGGCGATGGTGATGGTGATGATGTTGTTGATGATGATGGTGATGATGCTGATGATGATGCTGATGCTGATGATGGTGGTGATGATGATGATTATGATGATGGTGATGACTGTAATGGCGATGGTGATGGTGATGGTGATGATGGTGATGGTGAGGATGAGGACGAGAATGATGAGGATGACGAGGCTGATGAGGATGATGAGGATCCTGACCAACTTGATTGAGTTGGGAGCTGCCGTGCCATGCGCAGCCGTTCTGGCTCAAGCGCCCTGGCTGCAAAGCCCTGGCTGCGGGTTCCAAGAAGCGGCTTGCTTGCCTGCCTGGCTGCAATGTCCCCACCGCCTCACTCGTACGACGACGGCTTGGACGAGGAGGCGTGGGAGGACCGGGAGGTTATCGAGACATATCGCTCTGAGCGCTGTGCCTGAAGGGGGCTTTCTCACGAGCGGCGAATCTATCCGTATCCGCGCCCTCGCGGGGGCGCGACACTCCGGATACGCGGTCGCACGGGTATTTAGTGTGCGGGGCCTCAGCACAAAACAAAAGACTTGCATCCG